TATATATATATATTTTTTTTTTACGTATATATATATATGGGGGCGATATATATATAGGGATAATGGACAAGAAAATGGTTCAGGGTTTTAGGCATTGTTCGGACCTCAGATTATCTGTTTAGCCTTTCTGGGATTCGAGTTTAGGGTATTAAGAGTTCAGGTTGAGGTTTTTGCCACTAGGGTTGTAGGATGTAGGCCTTTGGATTTCGGAGTTCGGCGGGTTTTGGGCACTGGGCAATATAAAGCCCAATGCCCATTGCTGATGATGTGCTGAGAATGAATAAAAGGGTTCTGGGGACTAGTAAGCGGAGTCTTTACAAACCACGAGAGGGATCCACTTTCCTCTGAATGCTATCTACCGGCAAGTAAGTGAGTAACTAGTGCAGACAAGAAATCCAAATCCAAAATGTTAATCTTGAAGCCGCTGGACACTGGACACCTTAAGGACTTGGAAGTCAGGAAGCAGCACCTCGCAGACAAGGAGGCATCCGAGAGCAAAGCAAAGAACACCATGATCGAGAAGAAGGCGGATGCTGAGGCTGCCGGGAAGCTGCGTGAGCAGCACGAACAGGAGAAGGAGAAGGCAGATGCCGCCATGCAAGCAGCAAGAGCCGCTCTGGAAGCTCAGCAGAAGATTCTGGAAGATGCGGTCTCATCGCTTGAGGTGGCCACAGCAGAGGCTGAGAAGGCAACATCCCAAACCGAACACCTTGCAGGCATTCATCGGAAGCAGAAGGATTCCTTGGCCATGCTGCTTGAAGTGCGCGAGGCCATCAAGGACTTCTACACGCACATGGATGCGCTGATCATGAGCATGGAAAAGGCCGCAGCAAAGCAGCCTGACATGCCAGCACCACAACTCCTGCGGGGCGACTCCCACCTCAAGCCTGCATTGGAGAGTTATAATGATGTGGTCAAGGCCTTCCGTGAAGCACACAGCTTCGACGAAGGCCTCTACAGCACGATCCGCGGTGCCGTGCCTGAGATCAAGCAGAACTCCTGGTCTGCCATCCTTTTGCAGTGCGACCCGGGCGAGATTCTTGAGAAGCAGGCAGAGGAAGCCAACAACTTCGACGAGCTTCAAGATAAGTGCGGGACCGGGCTTTGGAATGCTGTGGGTGTTCAGAGGCTGCATTTCCCGACCTACCAAGGGACCAGTGAGCAGTTGGATGAATGGTGGGACCAGCACGTGGAAACCCCAGCAGCCCCAGCATCAAGTGCCGGATCTGAAGAAATGGTGGAGGAGGCCGAGCCAGTCACGGTATCTGAGAAGATCCTTCCGGAACCTGACATGCACGCCCCGAGCACCACGAAGCCTGAGCCGGTGGAGCAGATTGAGGCCGAACAGGAAGAGGAGGAATCGGTGAAAGCCATGCCAACAACTTCTCAAGCCGCGATGGAGCAGCCACATTCTGAGGCAGAAGACATGGATGCCTTCCGTTCGGCAGAGACCAAGGAGAAGGAAGCAGAAGCAGTGACAAAGGAGGTCCAAGCAGTTGCAGCTGAAACAACCACAAAGGAGGCCGAAGAAGCGGAATCGATTGCGAAGGAGGTCGAAGCACTTGCAGTTGAAACAACCACAAAGGAGGCCGAAGAAGCGGAATCGAGTACGAAGGAGGTCGAAGCACTTGCAGTTGAAACAACCACAAAGGAGGCCGAAGAAGCGGAATCGATTACGAAGGAGGCCGAAGCACTCGCAGTTGAAACAACCACAAAGGAGGCCGAAGAAGTGGCATCGACTACGACAGAGGTCGAAGCAGTTGCAGTTGAAACAACCACAAAGGAGGCCGACGACGTGGAATCGATTATGAAGGAGCTCGAAGCTGCGGAGTCAACCACACATGAGGTTGAAGCTGTGGAGTCAACCACAAAGGAGGTCGAAGCAGTTGAAGCAACTACGAAGGAGGTCGAAGCATTAGAATCAACCACGAAGAAGATCCATGCCTTGGAATCAACTACAAAAAACGTGGAGGATCTCCTGTCGGAGATGGAATCGCTGCCTGCCTCTACCTCAATCTCCTCTTCCTTGCAGCCCCTGCCGTCAAATGTGAAGGAAGACCACCACGAGGCAACAGCCTTTGAAATAGACGACCACGAGGACACCTTCTCACCTTCTGCGACCACGACTACTGAGGCGCTGGAGGGACCCGAACCAGACCTGATGCAGGACTTGTCCCTGCTGTGAGGCAAGGACATTTAAGAGGACCTGCAACTTGTGCTGCCTTAGAGAAAGGCAACGTGCGCTGCTGCTTGTAGGCAGTAGTTATAGTTCGCTGGTGCATGTGGACACCTTCAGGTGATTCTGAAATCCCGCGGCCAAGTTGCGGCTGGCCTGTCTGTCACTCGATCTTTCGGGGTCTTGCCCTTTGCATCCGCTTGCTGCACGGCCATGGTGTTTAAGGCACTCAGCCCTCATCTCGCTTCCTGCCCTCCTAGGACGTTGATTTCAAAGTCCCAGTCGAAGTCATCACAGCAGTGTTGCAGTCTCAGGGACGCTTGTGGAAGGGTGACTCCTTGATTCCTGTCACTGGCTTGTGTCAGGCCAGAGTTATCAGCCTTCGCTATTGACCCTGATGCTGCTTGGCTATGCTTGTCTCTGGTTTAGGCATAGCTTGAGATACGCATAGTGAGCTCTTGATTTCTGCAAGCTGAGGAGGATGCAACCTGCCTGCACGTGGTAAGCAGCCGGCCTCTTTTGCGGGTATTGGCGGACAGATCTATCTGTAGTACTGTAGTGGCAATTCTCTCGACTTGGCCTTCCAAGTGCACTTGAACCGACTTGTGACGTGGATGGAATGTTGGCATGGGGATGACATGGCAATTGCTTTAGCACTGCCAGTTCATGAAAGGGCCAGACTGGTTTGTGGCAAGGTCATGCTCATCCTTGTCACCGATGGAATCACCGGAAGGGTCTCAGACACAGAGGCGAAGGGTACAGTAGGCTGCAATTTTGTGAAGGCCTGGGGATGCAGCGTTTCTTGATTAAGAGACCATGGTGGACAAGGGGAACTGCACTGCAGCGTGAAGAGGCGGCACAGAGCAATGGCCCATCGGCGTCCGCCAGGGCAGAAGAGCTAAGACTTGAGGAGAAGAAGATTTCAACTGCCCCTCCACTAGACCCTGCTTTCCCCTCTTCGCAAACGCTAAACCCAAAACTCTAAACCCTAAAGCCCTAAACCCGGCCCTACAGCCTAAAGCCCTAAACCCTAAAGCCCTAAAAAAAAAACCTAAGACCCTCCAAACCCCTTGCGGCCAGGCAGTTCGCCTGGCGTCTGGGCCGCTCCGCGAGGGCGGCAGCGACGCACCAGAGCGGGTGCAGCCACAGGGATGGATTTAGGGCTATGTTGAGTAGTATTTTATTTGGGGATACTATGGTACCCATTATAGAATAAGATTTTATCCTCCTTTTGGGGTATAGTATTTTATATAAGGAATATAATCTTACTGGCTTCAACGACCAAAACAACGGGATAGTGGAAAGGTGGACACTACTATAATGGGGTTATGTGTTGTTCAGGGTTTCTAGGGCTATGTTGGGAAAATGGAAAGATGGAAACTACTATTTAGGGTTTAGGGTGATATAGGCATAATGGAAAAGAACATGGAAACTACTACTTCATAATGCGGTATATAGAGGGGGTGTGTAGGGATTAGATCGGGATAATGGAAAAGAAAATGGAAGCTACTAGAATGCGGTTGTATATCGTTTAGGGTTATATAGGGATAATGGAAAAGAAAATGGAATCTACTGGATATAATTTATGGATTATATATGGTCTGTATGGGACAGTGTGGCCCGAAAGTGGAGAATCACATGGAAAAGAAAAGGGAAACAGACATGGAAGCTGGGTATATATAGTGGTTTGTAAGGATTTATGGTTTTTGTACTTAGAATAAGAGTAGGGACCACATAGGGGTTATGCAGGGATAATGGAAAGGAAAGTGGAAATTAAGTTGAATAAACATAGGAGCGGTGTAGGGGTTATGTAGCACTGGCAGGCGAGTGAAGAAATGTCTCATGTCAGATGCAATCTCACGTCATCCGTGTATGGTTCACATAGAAAATCCCATCCCTAAACCTTGAATCCCTATCAGGGCCCTGCGTAGACCTGCCACGGAGGCTGCACGAGCTTTGGTGGAAGCAGCTCATACTCGAGAACCGTCTGATGCGTGGCACTAAGAATCTATCCGGGTGTTTCTCAATTTTTCTTTGATCGAATCATCAACTTGTAACCCTAATGTTTGTTTTTCAGGGCTCCTAGGGTTTTTTCAAACCACCCGAGAGTCCCTTCAAGTGTTGTTGCAGGATACACTGTGTGTATATGTCCCCATGTACCCCTATAAATCCCCCGAAGAAGGTACCCCTAATCATAGGAGACACCCAAATGATCCAGGACAAGACGGCCATGGTGATATGGTTCGGAGGATCCCCGGCTGCGGCCTTGGTATCAAAGGGTTTCTTGCTAGACTTGTAACTGTTCCTTATGGTGTGAATATGGTTGTGATTACTATAGTTATGAATATGATCATATTTTTAGTGGCTTCTGACTTAGGGTTTAAGGTTTTGTTATCTTTTTTTCTTTATATATTTTTTCTTATCATTATCATGTTATTGTAGCTGTGCGGTGCAGAGTTGCCGTGATGACTGGATGCTCTTGGTGCTCCAGGACGAGAAGGTGGGCAGCGCGCAGGGAGGCATTGACGTGGAGGCAGGCATCGCCAAGGCAAAAGCACGTATCTTAGGAACACGGATTTCACCTGAATTGCTGCTGCTCCTTTGCCTAGTACTCCTTTCCCAGTGCCACTGCTAGTGCTACTGCCACTGACACAGCCACAAAAATCCAAATAAGAATGATAAGAATAGCAATAGCAATTACAATAACAATTACAATGATAGTAGCAGATACAATAACAATTACAACAATCATAGTAACAATAATAACAATGAACCCTAAACCCCAAACACTCTGTACCAAGGGTAGCCTTTGAGTGGCCAGGATCTCTTCGGTGGGGAGGAGGTAGCCAAGCCCGAGCCGGAGCAGGGAGGAACGGTGCCATCCCTAGCGCACCATCCGAAGTTACAAAACTTCAATGTTATGTGAATACAGGTTTGTAATATACATATATATATACATATACATATATACACATATGTATATATATATATATGCATCTGTATATATATATATACACGCATATTTTGTTTTGTTTTTCCTTGGTTCCGGTTGTGATCTTGAAGCCCGTTTCTGTCAGAGAGGACCTAAGTTGCAAAACGTGTCATGGTGAAGTTTGACAAAGTTTGGTAGTGGCAGGCTGCGCAAAGTGTGGAGCCAAACTGGTCTTCGGTTAGCTAAAACACAAAGGAATGGATCGTTGTGGTAGTCCCTATATAACCTATTATAGTAGTTTCCATTTTCTTTTCCATTCCTTCATTCCCAGCTAGCCAAAGGCCGGCAAACCTAAGGCTCCATCTCGATCTGCCACTGGAGAGGATGACATGTTTGCAGCAGCTTGTCTGCATTGCTGTCCTTCTGAGATGGATCCTTTCCTGAGTTCTTCCACCACCCAACATGAACACTGGGTTGGCCACAATCCCAGACTGAATCTTCGGATGATCAATCACAGAGGAGTTCTGATTGGCTCATCCTTTTCAAGAGTCTCAAGCCCCCTCGGAATGTAAAGATCCTTTCATCCCAAAGCATGGGTGTCCGAGATACATGCTATGAAGAAAGGGCACCCGGAGGAATGGGAGTGACATGTTTTGCCATTCCGTCCCACACAAGATTACATACAAGTCCTATTACAGCACCATAGAAAGCATGGCTGCCAATTTGTGGTAAGGATGGCGCAGACCCCGTGGAAATGGCGCTCCTCGACGACATCTTCGGTCCGCGCCGAAGTGATGTGGTCTCTTGCATGAGGATCGTGAGTCAGAGGGCAAGCCACTTATGGTGGCGCCGAGGTGCCTATGCAAAGGATATGGGCGTTCCATGCTCAGAAAGCGAGATAGTTACAACGTCTTGTAAACCAGCAGGACGCGTAGGATCTTAGCAGGAAGTGATAATGCTGTTCAGGTTCATCGATAGGAAGAGAGAGAGGATTTTTTGCAACCTCGTCTTAAGCGTAGTCATGTTCACAGCGTTTGAGGTACCCGGACAAAAGGCCACGTCAAAGCATCTTGAAGTGCGTATCTCCACCTGCAGCGCACGCCACCTGCAGCGCACGATAGAACAACGTGACACTCCTCTCCTGTATGGAGAAAGTGGGAGTACTACTCGGAGTGTCTCAACGTCGTGTGAGCGTTTTGAATTTGATCACGTGACACTGCCACATTTTGCTTCATGACAGCAATGCAAGAACACCAACGTGCAACTGAGGTGGACATGGGCGGTGCTCCTGAAAGCGGTCCCGCGGCGAAGCGGAAGTCCGTAGAGGAGGCCAATTCAATCAGGGGATGAGATGAGAGCAATGATAATCGCAGAACGGCATGTTGTGTTGACTTCAAAGGCATGAGCATGACAACATCAACGAAGGATAATGATGACAAGGATGATGGTGGTGGTGGTGGTGGTGGTGGTGGTGATGATGACAGTGGTGATGGCGTTGGGGGTGGGGGTGGCGGTGGCGGTGGTGGGGGTGGCGGCGGCGGCGGCGGCGGGGGTGCTGCTGCTGCTGGTGCGGCTGCTGGTGCTGGTTTTGGTGCTGGTGCTAACGTCGTTGCTGTCGTCAGTGGGAGGTAGTGGGAGCGCACCTTTCCAACTTCTATCGCCACCGCCACCGCCACCGCCGCCACCCCC